CACTCTTTCTCACATATTTGAATCGCGTGTTAAAATAAAGCATCGCGTGATACATGAAGGGTCGAAAGTAAGTACGCGGAAGTTATTGTCCCTCGGTCATGTAACCGTAAGATATTTTTTCCGCTGCGATGTAAATGGCGTTATTTCCTGCTTCGGAGTACTTGTTGTGGCCGAAATCAACGTTCCTTTCTTTCTTTCTTTCTTTCTTTCTTTCTTCCTTTATCTTTTCATTCTATTTATATAATATACTATATAGATTAAAGGACTAATTCGAATAAACGATGGTTAATTTGGAGTTTTTGTTGATTATTATAATGAAGCATCACATATTTTATTAATGTAATTGCGCGTATTTGTAGGACAATCACAAACAAGACTCCAATAATCACAATAAAGTGTCAACTTTATCTACCGTTGTCTTCATGTGTGCAGCACACTGCCAATCCCAACAATAGTACTCTGCATGCTCGCAATTTTCCTCTCTTTCGCCAAAAAATCATCGTTACAATGAGTTGTAAAATTTCATTTTCAGGCATTTGTCATCGCCTACACCTCGGACTTCATACCTCGCAGTGTATACGCATTCGTATATTCGCCAACGGACGACCTGGTGGGCTACATCGACAGTTCCCTCTCCGAGTTCAACACGTCACACTACACGGCGGATATGCGCAACGAGGAGGAGCAGTACAAGGCCCCGCCAACGTGTCAATATCGTGGCTATAGGAACGGGCCCGATCACAAGGACGACCCTTATGGACTCAGTCCCCAGTACTGGCACGTCTTCGCCGCCAGACTTGCTTTCGTCGTTGTCTTCGAGCACGTCGTCAGTATATAATTATATTCGATTCGTCATTATCGGCTTTGCATCTCCCGACCTTGGCTAGCTTAACGAAAATTGTGTTGTGCTGCAGGTGTTCGCGCTCACGGGTATAATGAGCTATGTGATACCAGAGACGCCACGCTCGGTAGCTACGCAGCTGCAACGCGAGCGTCTCCTTGCCCAGGAGGCAAAGTACGAGAAGGGAGTGGGTGGCCGCGAGGAGGAGGACGAGGTGCTCTCGGTGTTGCGCGAGGCCGGTATCGGTGGATGTCGAGCTACGGGGCCACGGGCCAGCTGGGCCCGACGTTTCAGCAAGCTGAGTGACGGCCTGGATGCTCACGTCGAGGTACCGCCGCCCCGCCATCAGCGCCACAATCTCAACAACAAACCCGCCGACGGGTCGACCGTCTGGGAAGTGACCTGAGGTTCCCTCATTCGCAACACCCGCGTCCCGCCTCTTCCCCCCTGAACATTATCCGGAAAGCGCGAGCCTTTTGCGGCTCGTTTCCTCTCCTTACCTGTACATACCCACGAGCGCCGAACTTCGCAAGGCCGTTTTATCAAGTGCTAACATTCGCCGATTATTTCGATTAAGCGCTTGAGCGAAGCTGTGATTACGTCAATTTCGAGGCAAAAGGAAGACTACAGTGATGGGAAACGTACTATTGATAGACGATAAATGTATAGAAGCTGTATTATCGATGTAATTTAGTGTTGCTCGGCAGGTTTTTGTCCGGACGGCAACGATCGAACTCGAAACAACCTAATGTCCTAATGAACTTTGGAAAGAGCAATGTATCTGACGATTATGGGGCTCTATAAATTTCCATTCCCAAACGTTGAAAAATTTTGTATATGCAGTTGATTGTCCACCGCGCTACTTGGATTAAACTATTAACGTTATTGATTGAGAAGTAAATTTATTATAAAATATCTATAATCGTCTATTAATGAGCATTTTATTATTGTTACTGCCACGAGCTATTTACATTCTTAGATCCATTCTTATTAATTTCACTTCTTATAACGAGCATTCTATTATAATGAAAAATATTAAATGGATAATGCTACGATTTTTCTATTTTTGCACGCACTGAAACCATTAAAGACCAAATACTTCTATAACCAGTCCCGAAATACCTCCTTTAATCAATTTATTATTATTATTATTATTATTATTCCTTATCTAATAAAAAATTATTATTATTACTTTTTATTAGGATACGCGTTATCTGTTAAGCTTTAGTTACTTCATATTTTTCAAATTCAAAATCGAATGCTTCATTTCATAATGTAAAAAATAATCGATGCATTTATGAAATTTTTGTTTCGATTAGAAATAATTGCGTATAAATAGTATATGGATAAACTATCAAAAATTATTACAATTCTATTTCAATAAAATCAGTTCGCATTAAGAATATCGACTTGGGGTAAAGAAGCAATTATTAAATAAATTATTAACTAATTCCGTGGTAACGCTAATGAGAAATCTAAACAGTATTCTGGGCATTCAACATATTGGAAATCCTACATATTTATTTACATAGTTTCGAAGAAAAAAAATGTCTAAATATATATATATATATATATATATATATGTATATCAGCTAATCATCCATGACAATATTATAATTTACATTTAGTAGTAAAGTATCGGTTTCAACTCGTAATATATGCAATTCATTATCTTGTAAACAAAATTCTCTAAATCACTTCGTCGTTCGAGTAAAATCTCGATTTACCTTTATTCAGAAGATATTCTTATATCAAAACTTAATTATTAATCCGTATATATATATATATATATATATATATATACGGCACAAATAATAAGAAAGTAATTGATCAATACATGTTTTTCTCCTTCTCCTCAATTTTTCGCCACATCTAAGCTTAACTTAAGAGAAAGTTATTAATATTCTTTTTTATAATTAAAAATATAGTAGAATATTCTTTATTAAGTAAATTATGTATTTTATTCATTACTAAATTTTCAATTCTAATTTCTTAATACATTAATTGTATTTTTTTTTTTTGTATTGCTCAGATAAAAACAATTATGTAATTAAATAACGTTTGTATACTATATCGATCCTCATAATTTTATATATTATGCTTATGATTTTTTTCTCTTATGATTTTGTTTCTCTTTTATATAAACGTTGTAATGTATATTTTCTAATACGAAATTTCATTTTCTGAATTACATTGACTTCTGAATGTTATAAGATTTAGTAAATGTATTTATATCATAAATTCATATTACATTAATTAATAAAATATACTTATTTTTGTCATCACGATATATCGAAATTATTTTTTATACATTACTATTATCATAATTTAAAATAATCACTGAACACCATTAAAAATATATCAGGAATGCTTTTAATAACTGAAAATAAATTATTGTCATAAAGATTGAATATTTTGACAATTTAAAAGTTGCTTTTTAAACGTGAATTTTATATAGGATATAATATTATAAACATTTATAAATAAAATTTTCATTTATACTTTTAATTAACATTTTTACAAATTTTTACGATCCTTACGAAATTCATTTTGAGACATATAATTTTGTAGTAATAAAATCTCTTGGCTATACAATTTCTGTTTTTCTTTATGTTTTTGGTAATTGATGCATTAGTTATTTAACAGATCATGAATATAGTATCGAATGGAATTATTAATAATTTGGCAAAAGTTGTTATTATTCAAATGAAGTTGATAATTGTACAGTCAAAGTAAATTCATTATCTGTACTTGATTAAATTTTTTTTTTTTTTTTTTTTTTACTATGGACAATATATTTAGTAGTTGTAAAGTAGAATAATGTTTCACGTGTGCGATATACAGGATTTGTAAAATTAATAAATGCTCGAGTACTACACAATATACTCTTTATTATTTTACATATCTCAATATTTCATTTCTTTGCTATCGACAAAACATATTTATAACAATATACATGTACATAATTTCTTCATCGCTGCATCATCGATTTCCACTCGTAAAGTGTGCGTTATATGGCGGCGATGAAAAATAATAAAGTGAACTCTATAAAGAAGTGAGTTCGCAATCTTGCAAATGCTCGATGATCCTAACGAAGCATGCCGCATTCGCAATAACTAGCGGCAAACGATAAAAAAAATGTTATATTCAATAGTAACCGTGATGGCGATTTGTCGCGACGGAGTACCGTCATGCGTAACGTTAATAGAAAATATAGTTACTATTAATTATAAAACATTAATTGTAAAAATAAATGAACAATGCTGATGACGTTTATGACAACGATGATAAACTTTCGTAACGTTTCATTTCTAAAACCTGTTCTTATCGTTTCTATTTGCGACTCCTTTTTTCTGCACCTTCTTATAATTCTAGAACGTCTAATTACATACACATACTATCATTGGTTACAGTAGAACAATTTCCTTTTTTCTGACATACCATTTAATTAGATGCGTTAGTACCAATTATGCATCCATATATATATATATATATATATATATATATATATACAGACACTTTATATAAATGTATATAGATTTATATACGCATATATTTATTTATTTATGTGCGTAATGTAAAATCGTTCTACTGTATCAACCTTTAATAACGATTAGTCATTAATAGTGTATCACAGTTCGGTTTGGAAAATAAAAATTATATCGAAATATTAGGTTAGATTACAATGGTGGTGGTAAGGTAATTAATTAGTGGACCAGCCATGGAGAGACGGAGTCAAGACCTACTACAAAATTGCCGCTCAACAACGGATTAGACGTTATTACAGGTTCGGTGAAGCTAACTTGAAAGCACAAAGCGTCAATTAACCGATACGCATGTGCGTAGCTCGTTATTTCATGTGCATTTTCGTTCGCCTTCCTCATTGCATTCGTATATAAGAAAGCAACTTTGAGAACCGCACGAATACTGTGTCCTTAATCTGAAATATTGTTTATACCATGAAAATTAGATTTTCCGCATACGTATCTGATACGCCGTAAATGATAATGATAGTGAAATTTAATGATTATAATGACATCACAAGTCTGTTAAAAGTTGCTCGGGTGCTCATGCTTTTAATGATTAGAGTGAAAAATATGAGTCTTTTGACGTTGCTATAATTGATTCGACCTTGCTCCTTATTTCTCTCTTGTTATCTCTCTCTCTCTCTCTCTCTCTCTCTCTCTCTCTCTCTCTCTATTACACACGCTCACACACATACGTACAAACGTGTACTCTCGCGTATCTACACTTTCTTATAGATAATCACACTTCTCACAATTGTCTACAATTTTACATTTGTCTGATATTCTCGTTTATTCCCTCGTCATTCCATCGCGTACCGATAAGCTACAGCCGATGGGATGTAGCAACATCTTTATCGCGTATCAGTACCCCTAGACAAGTACTTTCTTACTTATAAAAAATGTATCTAAAAATATACTGTACACGTTAAAATAACCTGTACATGCTTTAAACTAAATGAAAATGAAATTAAAAGAGGAGGTTAAGAGAGAAAGTAAAGAAGAATAAGGCAGGCAGAGGGCAAAGTAGTATTGTGGGTCTGTATTGTTATCCTCGGTGCGGCCGATGCTACGTGTCACACG